TGTTAGCAGAACCCGAGGCCCCATCCCAGACCTGCTGAGTCAGAATCTGTAGTTTAACAGGATGTCGTTAAAGCACCTGGTACCCTCGTGATTACCCCCCTCCATCCTGTTGAGGTGTCTCATCCCTCACTACTTTTCGCTGTCAGAACTACCCTATCTTCACTTTCCTTCACCCATCTCAGATTCCCTGTCTCATTTTTTTTTAAGATTTATTTATTTTAAATTAAAAAATATTTTCATTTTTTTTTAAACGTTTATTCGTTTTTGACAGAGACAGAGTATGAGCGGGGAACGGGCATAGAGAGAGGGGAGACACAGAATGTGAAGCAGGCTCCAGGCTCTGAGCTGTCAGCACAGAGCCCGACACGGGGCTCGAACCCATGAACCATGAGATCATGACCTGAGCTGAAGTCAGAAGCTTAACTGACTGAGCCACCCCCGTGCCCCTAAAGATTTTATTTTTTAAAAGTAATCTCTACACCCAACATATGGCTTGAACTCACAACCCTGAGATCAAGAGTTGCATCCTCTGCTGACTGAACCAACCAGGCATCCCTCCCTGTCCCTTTTATTTTTTTTTCAACGTTTTTATTTATTTTTGGGACAGAGGGAGACAGAGCATGAACGGGGGAGGGGCAGAGAGAGAGGGAGACACAGAATCGGAAATACAGGCCCCAGGCTCTGATCAGCCCCAGAGCCTGACGGGCTCAACTCATGGACCGTGAGATCGGCTGGCTGAAGTCGACGCGAACCACCATTTCATGCAAACAGGCTTCCCCTCCCTGTCCCTTTTTAGTCGCTCCTCGTTTTTCCCTTCCATTTTAATTTAAATTTAATTGGCAAAATTTTGATTATGAGTGAACTTAGCTCCCCACCTTTCTGGTACCTGTGCCTGAGCAGAAGCTTGTTAGTGGAAGGAAAGGTTAGTAGAGGAAAAGGGAGGCTGGTTTCACTTTAAGTTTGTGACCGCAAATCTCATGTTCACTCTGCTGCTTGGTGTTCCTGCTATATTTCCCCAGTAAGCTCCCATTTCTTGCTCAAAGACAAATATTTTTTGTGTTCAGCTTTCATTCTGAGCCTCCCAGAGGTCTCCCGGCTTTTTGCATGGGCCCATGAGAAAATGGAAGAGTGCCTTTTTCATAGTAGTTTCTCAGGAAATGTTTGTTGAATGAATGGATTACTCTCTTGGAGGAAGATTGCCTTCAGAGAGCTGATCTATTAGGCAAAGCACAGGGTCTCAAAAGTGCCACCACCACTTCTTTGACCTTGAGAAAGCCACTTAACTGCTCAGACCTTCATTCTCTTTGTCCATGAATGGACAGCTGTTGATAACCGGTCACCTACCTTCCAGGTTATTTTGAGATGCAAGTAACTCAGTGTTATCTTCGTGCTTTTGGCACTCTTGCTCCTCTACACGTGTCCCTCACCTTAGTAAGACTGAGTCCTAATGTTTTTAATTGTGGTGTGCAGTCCTTCCTAACTTTGAATGTTAGGTTCAGTGGAAAGAACTTGGGATTCCGGAATCAGGCCTGCTTACTGTTCATATCTCTGCTGCTCAGCCAAATGACCTCAGGTGGCCAGTCATTAACAAGTGAGGAAATACATCTGTTAATCTGAGGTGTTGATTCATTTGTTACGAAAGGACAGTAATTGTTGATCCATAGAATTGTAAGCCTCAAGTGGGATAATAATATGCATACAAACTATTTCTAGATTATAATACTGTGTGTATTATGGTTTGTACATTTTGGGAGGGTTTGTACAGAGGAGAAGGGTGGTTTGTCTTATTTTAGGTCCAAAACTCTTGAGATTCGGTAAGCACGAACATCAGAAATTCAACTACCATCAGCATATTAGAGAGTCAAGAATGTCTTTTTTTTTTTTCTCTCTCTCTTTTGCATGTATTTTGGAAGTGATTAGTTTTAAGGTGACATTCACTGACCTTGAAACATTATATGGAGATGTTGCTTCTTGGTCATTACGATTTGTAGGTACCATGACCAAGACTTTGATCTTTTGTTTCTCAGTGAATTGATTTTTTTGAAGTAAGCCTGACCTGCCATTCATTAATAATACATGAAGAAGAAACTTGAATTGGGAGATTAAAAAAGCCAGCATTGGTGGTGGTGTTACTAATTCTTTTATCGAGACAGACTAGACTTTTCTTCTTTGTTATATCTTGGTCACAGTTCCCTGCTTCGGGATTCAAATGACTCGTATGGACCAAGAGGCAGAGGCATTCAGTTAGGCCACAAAGTCTAGACTTCGGGTTCATAGCTAGCTAAATGTAGGTTCCTAATAACCACATGCTCTGTTCTTTTGACTGTGGCTTGTAGATGCTTGATTTTTGTGAGCTCAGGGTGTTGAGCTGCAAAGTTTGAAATTGGCCGAGGCTTCCTAGTTGCTGATTATGGTGTTTTTCCACAATCTCTCTTGAGGGAGGAGCGCTTGACCAGAGCCCAAGAACTCACTGTTCTGCCTGAGTGGAGTATTTTAAGGAGCACGTCATGCTCTCTTCTTACCATCGTAATAACTTCCCCAGGACCATTGTGCTCTGTCTGTTCTGTTCTCACCTACCTGACCCTTTCACCTTATAATGTTGGACCAGGCAGTTTCTGACCTTAGCCTGTCCCCACCCTCTTCAGATTCTCTGCACATGTCAGTAGTCTTTTTCAGCTTAGAGGGGACTCAGCCATTCCCTTCCACCTAAGGCAGTAGCAAGAAAAAGTAAATCTGCTTGAAACTTACAGGCTGTGTATGGTGAGGGTCTGACAGTAAAGCAGGTGGCTTCACACCTGACTCTGAATCAGCTCCCCACCCTGGCACATGGATTCCCACACCCATTGCCACCATGATGGCAGGGATGATGATGACGGTGGTTATAGAAAGGAGTCCTGGAATTTTGTATTAATAGTCAAGATTGGCAATCATTGTCTTCCAGTAAACAGTGGTTCTTACTCTGTTAATCAGAATCTTCAAACTACACAATTTACCTTTCACATTATTAAAAACACCTTGTACCATTTTGGACCCTTTCAAGATTCATGGGGAATCTGCAGATGGAGCCTAATGAGGCAACTGTCTTGGTTTGATTTCTGTCCAGTCTGATTGTCTTTGAACAGAAAAGCTGACATGGCTGTATTCGTTTCCTAGGGCTGCCGTAACAAATTACCACAAACTGGGGGACTTAAAACAACAGAAATGTGTTCTCTCACAGTTCTGGAGGCCAGAAGTCAGAAATGGATGTGCCAGTAGTGTTGGGTCCTTCTGGAGGCTCTGAGGGAGCATTCCTTTCAGTGCCCGTCCCTGAGATTTTGGTGGCTGTCGGCTATCCTTGGCTTTGGACACATCACTGCAATCTCTGCCTCCATCTTCTTGTAGCCTTCTTGGTGTGCTCCCTTGCTCTAATAAGGACACTTGTCGTTGGGTTTAGGGCCCAGCCAGGTGATCCCCAGGATGATCTCAAGATCCTTAACTGAATTACATCTGCAAAGACTCTTATTCCAAATAAGGTCACATTCACAGGTTCTAGATGGATATATCTGGGTGGGGGAGGGGTGGGCACTGTTCAGTCCACTCTAGGGGGCATAGCAGGCTCTTCTGACATCCCCGGCCAGATTTTTTGCTGCTGCTCGTCACTGCTTGTAAGAGAGACAGACTGGCAGGGGCGCCTGGGTAGCTTAGTCAGTTGAGTGGCCTACTTCTTCTCAGGTTATGATCTCAGAGTTCACGAGTTTGAGCCCCATATCAGGCACTGTGCTGACAGCTCGGAGCCCGGAGCCTGCTTCAGATTCTGTGTCTCCCTCTGTCTCCACCCCTCCCCCACTTGCTCTCTGTCTCTCAAATAAATAAACATTAAAACAAAACAAAAAGAATGGCAGAGTGACATCCATCTGTGCTTCCTCATCCCAGCTCTACTAGCAGAGAAAAGTGCAAAACAATCATTTGACAAGAGAGTCAGTAACATTTTTCTCATATTCTGTTTTTAGGTGTTATGTCTAGAAATCTTTTCTCATATTCCTAAATTCCTAAGTTTTTCTCCTCTCTTAGAATAAGACAAGATCCTATTTTGCCTGGGCCCAAAATTGCAGTTTCATACCTGGTCTTGAGTAAATCAAAAGTGTATTGTGTTTCTCTGTAGATAGGACAAAAACAATTTTCTTTCACTTCCCAGATACAGCTTTTTCTTCCAGAGTTGGAACCTCTCTCTAGTTTGACATGTATATGGTTTTGTATTGAGCTTTGCATAATTCTGTGAACTTAAAAAGGTACATTAATACCAGCTTGTGGTCATAAAACTTGAGCAATATATAAATGAATGCAATAAAAATTTGAAAGCCCCCTTCTTTTCCTTTTTCACATTTTTCTGAATCCTGTTATGTGGATGTGTGGATTTTAGGCACTGTACTGAGCTGGTAATATTAGGTAAAGAAAAATGAATGTATTGCTAGGCTCGACTACTTGTTTGTAGGGTGGTAAACTGCTTCTAAATCCATTTCAGCCGCGTCTTTGTGTCTTTATCTAGAGTTTTCTAGGTTACGTGTGGAGATAGTGTATCATCATGTATAAAGAAAAGTTTAGCTTGTGAAACTGCTTTAATAATAGATGTTATTTCGGGGCGCCTGGGTGGCTCAGTCGGTTGAGCATCTGACTTCGGCTCAGGTCATGATCTCACAGTTAGTTTGAGCCCCGCATCTGGTTCTGTGCTGACAGCTCGGAGCCTGGAGCCTGCTTCGGATTCTGTGTCTCCCTCTCTCTGCCCCTAACCCGCTTGCATTCTGTCTCTCTCTCTCTCAAAAATAAATAAACATTAAAAAAAAATGATAGATGTTATTTCTACTTTCTTCCTCCTATAGATTCTAAATTCTGTTTATATTTTTCTTTTTGCAGGTTTAACCCAGAGACTGACTTCACCATAGAAACACCCATAGTTATATCAATGGTTGGGGCAAGATAGTGGCAACAGGCAAAGGAAAAATAGCTTTGACATCCTAAGGACAATGAGTATGCTAAAACCAAGTGGGCTTAAGGCCCCTACCAAGATCCTTAAACCTGGAAGCACAGCTTTGAAGACACCTGCTGCTGGTAAGGCTTTCTGTTTTCCCTTAGTAGAAATCAATTAGAATCCTATTTGAAAACTTTAAAAAGACAGCCTTATAAAACTTCATATTCTTGAAAATATTTGAAAAAGGTTTAATTAAAAGACCTGGAATTTTATATCCAAAAATCTTAAAAAAAATTTTTTTTAATGTTTATTTATTTATTTTTTTT